TGTGTGGTGCACTCCCCCCGCCCCCCCCCCCCCCCCCCCCGGCAGGTTCAATGGGCAGTGTGAATGGGCTCTCTGTTCTGGGCCTGGCAGTGTGTGTGGCGGTTTAGGGCTGGCATGTGTCCAGAAAGTGTGTATGTGCACACACCTTCAGGGCTGGCATGTGTACAGAAGGTGCACAGCAGGGACTGCCATCCCTTCATCGTGGAAGAGCTGGAGGTGTCACTGCCAATGCAGGAAGAATGCTGGTCCGCTGCTTCAATACTTTTCACTTACCTCCAACAATAAAATCCGAATTTTGATCTGCTTCTATTTCCCTGTGCCGCCATCTTCCCGCAATCAACAGGCTGGTGAACATTTTTTAAATAAAACTTTTCAATTTTTACTGTAATGATGATTTAATAAACGGATCAATCCTTCCTGTCGGCGCACCGCCATGAGTACAGAGGGATGAAACTGCTGACATTGGGGACACGGAACATTCTCTTCTCTTTTAATGTCTTTGGATCTGTATCAATCCCAATCGTGAACGACGCCAGAAATGTAAAGAATATCAGAAAAATTCTTTCTGTCTCAATAAAAAAAAAAAAATGTATTTAACAAAGTCGGAGTTTTGTGTCTTCTCTTCTAATACATCTTATTGACCGGCAATGTGCCGCTGAGCGTGATCGAAAATGTGACCTCTGCAGGAAGAGTCAGTCACCTAACCCAGCCCCCTCCCTCCTTGCATGTCAGAGCTCTCTCCTCTTTTGGGAGTGTCTGATTACTGTGTGTGCTGGCCCAGCTCCCCTCATCCTCCCACCAGCTGCCTACTTACCTTTTTATGTAGCTGCCTGGGGAAAAGGGAAGGGGAAGCTGTCACTCATGTGACAGCTGTATGTCTACTGGCCTGCTGACATCACATTCAAAATGGTGGCACCCAGCAGAAGTCTTTTGTTAAAATGAATGGTCTGGAGCAGCCCTGCTCAGCCTTTAACATGGTGGAACCCTTGAAATAATTTCAAGGATCCTCCTTATATTGGGGGTCAGTGGGGAGAATGCTCCTTACATTGGGGGTCAGTGGGGAGAATGCTCCTTACATTGGGGGTCAGTGGGAAGAATGTTCCTTACATTGGTGGTCAGAGGGAAGAATATTCCTTACATTGGGGGTCAGTGGGAAGAATGTTCCTTACATTCGGGGGTCAGTGGGAAGAATGTTCCTTACATTGGTGGTCAGAATGCTCCTTACATTGGGGGTCAGTGGGAAGAATATTCCTAGAATGTTGAATGCTCTAGAGGAAGGCTGGTCTAGCAACAGAGTCCCTCTAAGACAGGGATTTCAAAACTAAATGACCTGGGGGCCACTGGGCACATTTTCTTCTTCCTTGGGGGGGCCACCTGAGGAGGGAAAGGGAGGAGGGAGAGCCAGGAGAGGGACCGAGGAGAGACAGCTAGGAGAGAGAGAAGACAGCCAAGAGAAAGAGAGAAGAGACAGTCAGGAGAGACAGCTAGGGGGGGGGGGGGGGGGGGGGAGCGGAA